GAGGGCGGCGGAGCTCCGGGGGCGGAGCCTGGGCGACCTGCGGCGGCGGGAGCGTTCAGGTGGGAGGGAGCCCGAGAACGCGGGCGCCGAGGGGCGTCTCTGCGCGTACCCGGCCTCCGGGCCCCGAACTGAGCTCGAGAGGAAGATCGCGCCTTTCCCGGCCGTGGTGTTAGTCACCGTGCCTGGTATCCAGCAATGGCTTAGCATTCCTGCGCAGCTTTTCGGGGAGTTCTCGTGGTTGCAGTCAGCTCTTGGTTGCTGATGAAAAGGTTTGCTGCTCTGACAGCAGCTCCCGAAGAGAAAGATGGGACATTCTTCTGATTAAAGGATTTACAGCCCTGGAAATCCAGTAGGATGATTCTTTTCTATCCTGTGCAGTCATTGAGTCAAAATCTTATTTCCTCAAAAGCCGGGAAGCTTGTATGGGCTGATCACCTGCCTCAAATCCCTGTGTGTCTTGTTACTGTGGACGGCACAGTTAACATTGCTTTTATGGAACCAGAATTCGTGGGCAAAGGTCTTGGAATCTGTATTTAGCGATTTCCTAGGTCATTTTCAATCTATGTGCAGAACAGATCATTCCAGACGCTGGGCTGTATGAGGAATGTGGCATCAGGATTGAAGGAAGATTAATCAACAACCTGTGTTATTCAGATGACACAACCCTGCTTGCTGAAACTGAGGGGGACCTGAAGCGCTTGCTGCAGAAGGTCAAAGACTGCAGCCTTCAACATGGATTAAAGTTCAACATCAAGAAGATAAAGATTCTAACCACTGGGCCTACTGGCAGCAAGCACCTTGATGGCACATAACAACAGGTCATTATTAAACCCACCAACTTCTGAGAAGCATTGTGTTCATTTATCACGTGCACAGGCTTTCTGGCAATGACAGTTCTCTGTGATTGCAGAATAATGAGGCTTCTTATATACCTGTCAAATTGACTGACACATAGTGACCCTATGAACAAATGGCTCTGAACCCTGCCTGTGCCGGTCTCATCATCTCCAACACACTTGAGCATGTTGTTTCTAGTGAAAGCCATAGTCACTATGTCAGTCTATCCCGTTGAGGGTCTTCCTATCTTACTCTACCTTCCCAAGCATGATAATCTTCAAGGACTGGCCCTTCCTGAAAACATGACCCAAGAGTTTTACCATCTTTGTCTCGAAGGAGCACCTTGGGCTCACTTTTTCCAGGCCAGACCTGTTTGTTCTCTTGGCAGTCCATGGCCTATTTTAAACATTCTTGTTCAGCACCACAACTCAGAGACATTGATATCATTTTTAGTCATTGTCCAATTTTCAGATGCTGAAAAGACTGTGGCTTGGGTCAGATGCATCTTAGTCTTTAAACCAACTGACAATAATAATCTTTAGAAGTTCAAGCTGCTTTGAAGGAAATAGCAAAAAATAAGGCCCCAGGAATACAGCAGCACATCAGCAGAGAATTGCCAGAAGTCCAGGCTGGGTTTAGAAGGGGTCGTGGTACTAGGGATATTGTTGCTGATGTTAGATGGATCTTGGCTGAAAGCAGAGAATACCAGAAGAATGTCTGTGTTTCATTGATTATGCAAAGGCATTTTAATGTGTGGATCATAACAAACTGTGGCTGACTCTGAGAAGAATGGGAATCCCAGAACATTTAATTGTGCTAATGTGAAACCTATACTTGGACCAAGAGGCAGTAGTCAGAACAGAGCAGGGTAACACTGCATGGTTCAAAATTGGGAAGGGTGTACGCCAGGGATGCATCCTGTCTCCATACCTTTTCAGCATGTATGCAGAGCAGATTATCCGAGAGGCTGGGCTCTATGAGGAGAAGTGTGGCATCAGGATTGGTGGAAGAGCTATTAACAATCTCCGTTATGCAGATGACACAACCCTGCTTGCTGAAACTGAGGAGGACCTCATGCACTTGCTGTGAAGGGTCAAGGACTGCAGCCTTCAGTATGGACTGAGGCTCAATGCCAAGAAGACAAAGATTCTCACCACTGGACCAGTTGGCAGTGTCAGGATGAATGGCGAAGAGATTGAGATTGTTCACAGCTTCAGTTTGCTCGGCTCCACACTCAACACTCTTGGCACCAACAGTCAGGAAATCAAAAAGCGTATCACGATGGGAAAGTCTGCTGTTAGGGACCTCTCTAAAGTACTCAGGAGCAATGGTGTCTCTCTGGAGACTGAGGTGCGCCTGATACAGGCCATGGTCTTTGTAATCGCTTGTTATGCATCAGAGAGTTGCACAATGACTAGGGAGGACAGAAGGAGAGTGGATGCTTTTGAGCTGTGGTGCTGGAGAAGAGTACTGAATGTACCATGGACTGCCAGGAAAACAAACAGATTCATCTTGGAGAGGATTAAACCAAGCTACTCCTTGGAGGCAAGGATTCTGGGGCTTCGTCTGACATACATTGGACATGTTGCCAGGAGGGACGGGTCCTTGGAGAGGGACATCATGCTTGGGAGGGTGGAGGGACAGCACAGGAGATGAAGACCCTCTATTGATTCCGTGACTGGGGTAATTGGGATGGGTGTGTCAGAGGCAGTGCGGTTGGCGCAGGATAGAGCAGGGTTTAGGGCTGTTGTGCATAGGGTCGCTATGAGTCGCAAACGACTCAACGGCACATAACAACAACTTCAGAGAAGCCCTTGGGGACAGAATTTTACCAGTGCAACTCATCTTGATTTCTTGACAGCTGGTACCAAGGGTATTTATTGGTTGCAGATCCAAATAAGATCAAATAGTTGACAACTCCAATCTTCTATCTCTTACGATATTGCCTATTGCTCCTGTGTTGAGGATTTTTGTTTTCTTGACACTGAGATGCAATCATGTTGTAGTTCTTGATACTTTTTCAGCAAGCACTTCAAGTCTTCCTCACTTTAAATGAGCAACATTGTGTCATTTGCATAACACAGGTTGTTGATCCCTCTTCCTCTGATCCTTTCATAAAGTCCCATTTCTTGAGTGATTATTGAACTTTCTCCAAAAATACTTATGACATCTACATGAAATATTAACAGTTGCACTTACTGTAAAGTTGTTTTCTTTTACCTCACTGGTGATGTATAGTTCCTGTGGAATTTGCTGTTGGTGGGATTGAATTGCCAGAGAGGGCTGGCTTCTGATAATAACTTTTTAAACAGAAAAAATAATTGAAATTCTTTTTGTTCTATGCTGTCTTATTTCCAGTTACTGTTCTACGCAGGGGAGAACATGGTAAAAAATCTCTGCCTTTTAATGTAGCCTATGTAGTACTAGCAGAGACAAAAGGAAGGAAAGAAATAAGTGAAATCCAAGTATATTAGTGACCAAAGAGATTTTTAAAAACTGCAGGCTGGGTTTAGAAGGGGTTGTGGTACTAGGGGTATTGTAACTAATGTTAGATGGATCTTGTCTGAAAGCAGTGAATACCAGTGGAATGTCTGTGTTTCATTGATGATGCAGAGGCGTTTGACTGTGTGGGTCACAACAAACTCTGGCTGGCTATGAGAAGAATGGGAATCCCAGAACACTTGATCGTACTAACGCGAAACCTATACTTGGACCAGGAGGGAGTCATCAGAACAGGGGAAGGAAACACTGCATGGTTCAAAATTCGGAAGGGAGTATGCCAGGGATGTGTCCTAGCTACATACCTTTCCAGCCTATATACAGAACAGATTATCTAGAAGGCTGGGCTCTATGAGGAGAAATGTGGCATCAGAATTGGAGGAAGACTCATTAATAATCTGAGTTATGCGGATGACACAACCCTGTTTGCTGAAACTGAGGAGTATCTGAAGCACTTGCTGCAGAAAGTCAAGGACTGCAGCCTTCAATATGGAGTGAAGCTCGGTATCAAGAAGACAAAGATTCTCACCACTGGGCAGCATCATTAAAGATCGTGAAGAGATTGAGATTGCTCACAGCTTTAGTTTGCTTGACCCCACAATCAACACTCTTGGCACCATCAGCCAGGAAATTAAAATACATATTGTGACAGGAAAGTCTGCTGTTAGAGACCTCTCCAAAGTACTGAAGAGCGGTGATGTCAGTCTGGATATTAAGATGTGCCTGATACAGGCCATGGTCTTCGCAGTTACTTGCTATGCATCAGAAGGCTGACAATGACTAGGGATGATAGAGGAAGAATTGATGCCTTTGAGCTTTGGTGTTGGAAAAGAGTGTTGAGTATACCATGGGCTGCTAGGAGAATGGATAGGTTCAGCCTGGAGAGGATAAAACCAGGCTACTCCTTAGAGGCAGGGATTCTGAAGCTTCGTCTGACATACTTTGGGCATGTTGCAGGGTGGGATCAGTCATTGAAGAGGGATGTCATGCTTGGGAGGGTGGAGGAACAGCGCAGGAGAGGAAGACCCTCCATGAGATGGATTGAATAAGTGACTGGAGTAATGGGGGTAGGTGTGCCAGACAGTAAGATTGGCACAGGATAGAGCAGGATGAGTTGCAGGGGACTCGACGGCACATACCAAAACAACAACAAGCGATTTAACAAAGGCTTTAAGTGCTGTGTAGCAGCCTACAGAATTTTAGAAAGAGTAGCTAAGGATAGCCTTGCTGACAGGTTACTTAGTAAAAATTGAATAAATACTAATTGAGCATATATTCTTGAGTGCTGATTAAATCTACATGAGAGTTTGAGAACTAATCTGGGAAAATATTGTGTGGTGGTTTTAGAAATAAAAATTCAGTTGCTGTCTAATTAGAAGGAACTCATTACTGATCCTCTAGAGAATTTCCTAAATTGTAAATTTTATAGAAGAAGGTTTCCCAAAGCTGCTAGTGGATTTGAATTACTTGAAAGGCTTGACCTTTGGGTTAGCAGCAATTCTATAGGGACTACACGCCACCAGTGAGGGTAAAAACTCCACATTAAACACAGTTGTTAAGACTTCATGTAGGAAGTGGGATTTGCTGGACTTTGAAGGATTGTAGGCCCTCATAAATGAAGTGACTTGGAGAAGTCCAACCTCATTTTCTGGTGTTAGTCTGTTACCTAGATTAAAGCGTATAAAGTTTCTCAAGGAGTTAGGGTCAAAAAAATCTTAAGAGAATTAAAAAGGAGTATTTCAAAACAACTATAAGGTAACATCTCACCCCAGTATAAATAGCAAAATTTAACAGAACAGCAAGTAACAAATGCTGGCAAGGTTGGGGAAAAGCGAAACCCTTATTCACTGTTGGTGGGAGTGTAAAATGGTGCAGCCGCTCTAGAAGGCTGTATGGCGCTTTCTCCAAAAGCTGGAAATAGAACCATAACTGACATCCAAACAGATACATGCACACCCATGTTTATTACAGCTTTGTTCACAATAGCAAAGAGATGGAAACAACCCAAGTGCCCATCAACAAACGAATGGATAGAGAAGCTGTGGTATATTCACATGATGGAATACTATGCTGTATTGAAAAACAAGAAATTAATGAAATAATTATACAAAATGGGTGACCCTGGAGGACATTATGTTGAGTGAAATATCTCAGTCACATAAAGACAGATACTGAATAGAGCCACTGTAATAAGGCAGGACTGACATTGGAGTTGGGAGGATACTAAGAGGCGATAAATAGCGTATACAGCATTGAAACAGATGAGGGCACTGCAGTCCCAGAGGTGTGCAGTTTGAATCCATGAGATACTTAGCTGGAGAAGGAGGGACAGTCTCCTCTTGTACCAGTCAGGTCTAATTTGACTGCGCACGCGCACACACACACAAAACAGGGAGAGAACTATTTAGGAAGAATATATGATTAGGTGTTACTGTCATGACAAGTCCAGGATGAAAACTGCATAGTGGAGTGGACTGGAGCAGGGGGTATTGTATAAAAAGGAAATATTCTTTTTTTTTTTTTTTTTACTTTTCAAAGAGAAAAGCAAACTGTTGGGGAGAGACAGGGAGAAAGCGTGCAACAATGAATGAATGGAAATCCAAAGTGTCTGTAAAGTTTCATTGTTGTTGTTGTTATGTGCCGTCGAGTCGCCTGCGACTCATAGCGACCCTATGTACAACAGCCCTAAACTCCGCTCTGTCCTGTGCCAATCGCACTGTCTCTGACACTCCCATCCCAATTATCCCAATCACCGAATCAGTCCACCTCATAGAGGGCCTTCCTCTCCTGCGCTGTCTCTCCACCCTCCCAAGCATGATGTCCCTCTCTAAGGACCGGTCTCTCCTCACAACATGACCAAAGTATGTTAGACGGAGCCTCAGAATCCTTGCCTCCAAGGAGCCACCTGGTTTAACCCTTTCCAGGACGAATCTGTTTGTTTTCCTAGCAGTCCATGGTATTCTCAATACTCTTCTCCAGCACCACAGCTCAAAGGCATCAATTCTCCTTCTATCCTCCTTGGTCATTGTCCAACTCTCTGATGCATAACAGGTGATTGCGAAGACCATGGCCTGTATCAGACGCACCTTAGTCTCCAGAGAGACACCATTGCTCTTCAGTACTTTGGAGAGGTCCCTAACAGCAGACTTTCCCATGGCAATGCGCCTTTTCATTTCCTAGCTGCTGGTGCCAAGACTGTTGACTATGGAGCCAAGCAAACTAAAGCTGTGTACAATCTCAATCTCTTCACCATCCATCCTGATGCTGCCAATTGGTCCAGTGGTGAGAATCTTTGTCTTCTTGACATTGAGCCTCAATCCATATTGTAGGCTGCAGTCCTTGACACTCTGCAGCAGGCGCTTCAGGTCCTCTTCAGTTTCAGCAAGCAGGGTTGTGTCATCTGCATAAGGCAGGTTGTTGATAATTCGTCCACCAATCTTGACCCCACATTTCTCCTCATAGAGCCCAGCCTCCCAGATAATCTGTTCTGCATATAGGTTGAAAAGGTATGGAGATAGGAAAAGAAAGGAGGTATTTCTAAGAATAAGAGCTTAATTGTAACATTCAATTGTTTTTCTGTATCATGCTGGTCTCTACAGTTTCTGTAGTTCTTCCTTTTTTTCCTACGTGAAACTTACTTTTTGCTGTTTTTGTTTTACTTGATCTTCTCCTTCAGTACATTGACTTTGTCTCTTTGACTGTTCCATCTTGCCTTGTCTGTCCAGGGTATGGTGCCACTTTCTGGCCTCTTCATTTTCTGCATCTGCTTGTTACTTGCTGTGGTAACATTCCATGCTATTATTTCATCAGAGAGCTGCAAACAAAGCGTTCTGTAAGCCATGAGACTACAAGGGTGTGTGTGTGCCATCCTGGGATGTGAAAAACTCAGTGCTTCAGAGTGTGTTGTTTTCTCCAGAGTCAAGTACACGAGGAGTCTGAAGACTCGGAAGTGGAAAATGAAGCAAAAGGTACTTTTCCACCTCAGAAGAAGCCTGTTTGGGTGGATGAAGAGGATGAAGATGAGGAAATGTAAGTTGCTTGTATTTTTCAGATTATCTCTGGACACCAAAAAAGCTATTTTGCTGTGTTAAGAAATTATTTATTTACTGAAAGATTTTGAAAAATGAACTACAGTTAAAACATAACATGTAAGATACAAATTTTAAAAATACAGGAAAAGAAAAAAAATCTCACCACCAAGAGAGAACTGCATGTTGGCATATTCCTCTCTTTTCCGTGCTGTACAAAGTCGTTCAGGGCAGAGTTTGGGTCAGATAATTGTGTGGGTCCTTATTATGTGACCTGAGGCAAGTTTGGAACCTACTTTTTCATGTGTGGAAAGCAGTTATAATAATAGTACCTATTAGAATACTATTGGAATTCCCCCACCCCTTCTGCCCCTCAGGTGAGGTTTATTAGGACCACCAGTGGGTAGGTCTACATGAGAAGCTTCCTTTTTTAGCCTCCTTTGATTTTACATTAGTTTTGAGATTTGATAATATATCATATTCAACAGCCGGGACAGGAAATACTTCAGTTTGGGATATTCCAGTTATATATCCTTGATATCATCATCAGATAATAGATTATCCTGAAAAATATTTCTTCATTTCCATTACAGTATGTAGAAGTGCCTTTAAAAAGAAATTATTATTTTCCCCTCATTCTTTCTCCTTCCCACCTTAATCCTTAATGTCTCTGTCTGTACAGGCATATATTCCATACATGTGTTGTTATATAATATTTGACCTTTTTTTAAAAAAAAAAACCAACCCGAGTCTTATTGTGTACTGTTGAGTCATATCTGACTGGCACAGGTGGATATTGCACCTCCTTCTCCAGAGCATCTGTTGAATTTGAACCTCGCGCCTTTGGGATTGTAGCACAGCTCTTTGCCGCTAGGCCACCAGCGCTCCCTAATATTTGACCTTTTGCAATGAGTTTGCTTCTCTCAGGTTTTGAATGTTTATCTATAGTTTGTTTAATGTGTATATATGTGCACGCACACACAACATGTGTTTATGTTGTTGAGTCAGAATTGATTGACAGCTAATCCTCCAGCAAGTGGGTTTTCAGAGGCAGTAAATCACATGAGAGTAGGTTGTCTTTTCTCCCCAAGGAGCAACTGGTCGATTTGAACCATGTCCCTTTGGGTTGGTAGTGCAAATAGTTCCTTACCACTAAGCAGTGCACGTGAGCATGTCAGATTTTTGTGTCCTCCTCCTTCTCTAGGAACCCCTTAAGATTGATTCTAACTGTGTAGAAACCATTTCTTAGGTTTTTTTATTAGTGATCTTATCATTATCCTTTTGTGACTGATTTTTATCACTCACTGTAATTCTAGTTTCATGCAGTATTTCACAAAATTACTGATAGCTCTTAAGTGATATAGAATACTCCATTGTGTAAATGTACTCAAGTTTTTTCAGCCATCCATCTGTTAATGAGGCTTGGGTTGATGACAGTTTTTGCCATTATAAATGGTGTTACAGTAATTATGGATGTGAGTGTATCAGTTTGAGTTGCAGTTCTTGTTTATTTGAAATATACATACATACTAGTGGGGTTGCTGGATCAAATGGTCTTTCTATTTCCAACTTTGTAAGGAAGCACCAAACTCTTTTCCTTAGCGGTTGAACCATTTTGCATTTCCACCAGCAGTGTAGGGAAGGAAATTCTGTTGTTTGATGTTTTATTGAACATTGAAGCAGTATTTTTGCCGGCATGAGATGGTATCTTACAGTTCTGATTTCCATCTCTCTAATAGTAGATTTCTTTATGTGTTTGTTGGCCATCTGAAGGTGGTTTTTGGTGAAGTGTTTAGTCAACTATTTTGCCTGATTTGTAATTGGGCTGGGTATTTTTTGGTTGAAGTGTTGGAATTTTGTGTAATTTTTAGAAATTAGTCCCTGGCCAGATTTGTTTCTTTGTTGTTGCCAAATAATTTTTCCCTACTCTGAAAGTTATAATTTTACTCTTTGGAGAAGTCTTTTAATGTGTGTAAGGATTTTTTAATTTTGAAGAAGGCCCAGTCATCAAATTTATCCTCTGTTGCCTTTGCATCAGTTACATTTGATGATCTGTATTGTAGCTTTGTTGCTGTTGCTGCCAGTTCGTAACTGACATCTATCTACTTGACCCTCCAGCAGCAGGTTTTCAGAGGCAGTAAATTGCAAGGAATGAAGCTGCCTGTCCTTCTCCTGCAGAAGAGCTGGTGGATTTGAACCATGCTCCTTTGGGATTGCCGTACAGCGTCTTATCATTAGAACTGCTAATTTACTCCACATTTTCTTTGATGATTTTTAAAAAAAAAATTTTTATTTTATTATTTTTGTGTGCGTGTACCATCAAATCAGATCTGACTGGTACAGGAGGAGATTGCCCCTCCTTCCCCGGCAGAGTATCTGGTGGATTCGAACCGTGCACCTCTGGGATTGTAGTTGAAGCTTCTTGCCACTAGGCCACCAGAGTTCCCCTGATGATTTTTGTAATATTAGATTTTATA